AACTCACATATATTTTTCGAAGAAAAATAGTGAGTATAAGTTTAAATATATCTCAGTTTCTAATATGTTTGTTGCAAAAAAAATATATCAGAAGATGGAGCGTCAAAAGATCTATAATCTACAATAGAAAGCTTATTTCATATATGGTCTTTTAGTATTCAAAATCAGTAGATTTCGAAGTGAGTGAATTCTAATGTTGCGAAAAAGTTATTTTTTATACATGATGAAGTCTTTTTTTCTTTATTTTCTCTTTTCATCATTTTCATCCATTTTGAACACTAAAAGATCATATATAAAATAAGCTTTCTATTGTACATTGGAGATATTTTGACGCGCCATCTTCTGATATATTTTTTTCAAGAAACATATTAGAAATTGAGAAAAAAAGGTCGAAAATAAATCTATTTATCATGGACACCGGTTACTGGATTAGATGGTACGAAAAAAATCTTTTAGTTTGGAGTTACGTCTTCACGATAGCTTGAGTTTTAGTTGTGAATATTTAGAGTGATACTTATCTGATATTGCTTGACTATTAGTTAAATTTTGAGCTTTTTTTGATTTTTTATAAGACAGAGAAGAGAAATTTTTCTGTGAAGTACTAAAATTTTGGATCACCCTTTAAGTAGGTAGATTGAGAAATACATAGATAGTTAGGTAGATTGTTAGATAGATAGTTAGGTAAATAGTTAGGTAGATAGTTAGATAGATAGGTAGCTAGGTAGACGGATAGTTCGATAAATAGATAGTTAGATAGACAGATAGATAGATAGGTAGGTAGGTAAGCAGATAGACAGATAGATAGATAGATAGATAGATTGGTAGGTAGGTAAGTAGATAGATAGGTAGGTATATGTCCTAGTGATAATATCACTGATGTACGTGTAATTAAACGTAAAAAGGTCAATACTTTTCCCACACACACGGCAAAACACGATCGTTTACGACCGCATACGGAAAAAATACGGTCGTTTACGACCGTATATGCTCCGTATACGACCTCCGTTTTTCTCCGTATTTTGCCGTATACGGTCACGCAAATATACGATCGTAATACTGGGCCATGTAATACGGTCGTATACGGAGCGTATATGGTATGTATACGGTCGTATACGACGTCGTAAACGGTCGTTTACGGAGTCCGTAACGCTCGACCTGGGCAACAGCTAATTTAGAAACAAAAACATCAAGTGTTTGGAGCTTATTAAATATACAATTAACAACATAATTTATTAATCCTTCATCTGATACAAGAAGAAAACAAGTAAAAAAAAGCAAAGAATATTTTTATCTAATATTTTATTTTTAAGGTTCTTTATCCATCATATTCTCTTTCTGATTTACGGTTTTGGTCAGAATTATATTCATGTGGTACACAATATATACCCACTGGTTCATCTGAACATTCATTATCTTTGGTTCCGGGTCGTTAACATCGTTCGACAACTGATCCAAAGTTAAAGCGTTCAAGTTCATCAAAAGCACTTTTAATAAAAAAAAAAGAAAAAGAAAAGATTCAAAATTAAAACGAAAATTAATTTATGTAAGTTTTTTTTACTTGAAATATAAAACAAAAAATTGATTTCAGTAAGTCTCCATCCATGATAGAAACCTTTCCCATACTTTTAATATCTCGAGCCGATAGTTACTCTACATATATGTTTATACATGTCAGAACATATGCTTTGTTTATCATGAAATATGAGACTATTTGAATATTGTATGAGAATTTGATTTTCCATTAATCTAAATATTAGAATAGATATTATTCTTTATATGATAATCACATCATTTTACGAATAATTCTAATGAAATGAATAAATAATTAAGTTCTATTAGTGTTCTTGATGATGATCTATTATTAATAAGTTGAATAAGAAAAAAAACTAATTCTTTTTTTTCTCATCTATTTAGATTATCTCTAATGATAAAAAATGTACTAAAGCTGAAGATCATTCGTCGATGATGGATCATTTTTATTGTTAAAATTTTAAAGAACGTATAAACGGGCGCGGGTGTGAGTATGAGTGTGGGTGTGGATAAAACTGATACCCACACCCATACCCCACACTCACACCCCACACACACACTCACACATCCACACCCTCAGCCACACCCACACTCACAAACCCTCAGCCACACCCACACCCCACAATCACACGCCCTCAGCCACACTCACACCCCTTTTGGTTAGGTATCCTGCTGAGCATTATCTCAGCATATGAGTACTTAAGAGGTATCTGTCCAGTTTCTATCGTATTCTATGAACAGTGTTTGAACAAGTTGGTAGATTGAACATTGAGAAGCATTTTGTAGTCAAGTGTTAAATACCCATAAAGTACTCAATGTTCCAGCAGAATATTAGTAGTAGCATATCCTGAGTTTAGTATATTCACTAGGACGTGTTGTATACCTGTTAGTTCTGGTAAAAAAGAAGCAAATAGTACATTGCTTGATAATTTCAAAAGAACAAAAAATATTACAGCTAACGCATTTATTATAATTTATTCGAGAAGACTTCTATCGAATTTCAATGATTTGTTTATCGATGAAAACTAGTTTCAAATAGAAAATTTTCTTTTTATACAAAACCAAAATTTTCAACTCATATTAAATAGACCAATTGAATTCAATACATAGTCAATAAATCCTAACGTTAACTGTTAGATTAATTATCGAAAATCAACTTTGTGGATAACGAGAAAAATCGAATCAACCTTAGACTGATGAATCGAAATCTTAGATGATGTGTCAATCATATGATTACACTTTTTAATATAGTTTATGTACCAAGTCTTTATCCAAATTGTTGTCCATTCAATATTTGCAAATATTTACAGTACAGCAAGACATAAATATTATCAAAATTTCAACTCATGCCATTTTATGCATATAAATTGTATGAAACGATTGTACGTATTACCATTTTCGAGTTGTATTCAGTCGTCGATCGAGAGTTGTATTCAGTCGTCGATCGAGAGTTGTACGATCACATCGTAGAATATTAACCGTAGTTGGCCCTCTCTTGAAAATTGCAAAATCCCTAGTGAATCTGTAGAATATAAGAACTCCCCAGTAAGTTTTTTTTCTCATAATTTTATCCAGCAGCGTACATAAACATTTTAAATATATATTAAATTATATCTGTTCATAAATGAGAGATATAACTAGATAATTGGTGGTTGTACGGATGTCCAACATATTTTGTTTATTTCGATCAATATTAACTATAACTTCAATAGTGAAGTATTATTTCAAGATATGAATTCTATTTTCTATGTTTAGATTAATCTTTCGATAACAAATAAAATATTATAAGTATTATTTAAAATTTAATTAAATATTTTTTACTTAGGCTAACCGCAAAGGCAAGTACAAAGGTAAGTTTTAAAAAAATCAAATTTGATTTTCTTTTTATTTGTGAAAAAGAAAGTCACGACTTTCTTACTGACGAATGGCACATATGGATATGATAATAAAGACATCGTATACGACTGTTTACAGTCGTCATAACTTTCATTGTAGATTTCTGGAAATTTGTTTAGTGAGAATTGATAATGGGAATCTTTAATTTTAAATCATTACTCATTGAGAATCATTATTATCTTTATTAGTTTTCTATAAGTTCTACTATTTATTTATATATTCATAACAAAAGAGAATAAAATTATTCAATGACTATCTGTAGAATCAGATACTTTTCTACCATGAACTAATGCTGAAAAAGCACGACGAAATTTTTGTCCTGTTAAATAAAATATAAAAAATGCAAATGTATTTTTAATATATATCATTGCAAATCCAATTGAAAAAATTAAATTCAATGTTCCAATCTTCAAACAAGTTTTAGGTGCATTATAATTAACATAAATTTGTAAAAATAATGTTGGAAATATTGTAATAGGAAATAATAAATCAAGACATATTAATGTTTTTGTTATTGAATGTAAATGATCATTTTTTGATTTAACAGATACATCTGAATCATGTCTTTTTCCATAAATATTTTTTCTTGTTAAATATATATTTCGAATAATTAATATACAACAAATAATGATAATAAATAATGGAATAATAGCAAATATAATAAGATTATATATTGGCCAAATAGTTTTCCAAAAAACTCTATATGTTGGATGTGATGTTTTACAATGACAAAGAAGTCCATCTATGAAACAAGTATTATTTGTTGGAATTTGAGTTATAATTGGTTGATTAAAATAAATTAAAAAATGAAAATTAGCAAAAAATGAAAATAAAATTAATATACAACAAATTATTTTTGCTGTACGTTGTTGACATAGAATTTTTCTAAATGAATGTTCACTTAAATATAAACAACGATCAATATTAATCATAACAATAATCCATATAAACAAATAACGAAAAAAATATGTTAAAAAAAATATACATTTACATGCTTTTGGAAGAAAATTTTCTATTAAAATTTTACTATTAGTTGTAAATGGAATAAGAAAATGATAATTCATATCAATAAATATAACTAAAATATTTATAATACATAAAAAACTAAAATAAATATATAGAGATAATCGTTTTGTCCAATGAATAAATATAAATAATGCAAAAATATTGCCAGTAATACCAAGAATATTATATAGTATTGTCCATACACGATAAATCCAATGAGATATATTTGTTAATTTTACAAATTCATCAAAATCAATTGGTAAACTTTCGTTATTTGCCATGACTCCGATGTTATGTACATAAAAAGTTATAATTTACCTGTATACTTCTATCATTTGCATAATTATAGGTGTATATAAATGTATGAATAGTAAATAGTCATGTACACGTTATTCATCGGTTTGTAACGACGCAAATACTTTCGGAGAAGTGACGTAAGAAAAATTTATAAAGTGTTGAATATTAGTTATTTTTATTACATTATTCTTTACTTTCTTTGGAATAAGACATCAGTTCAATTGAATATGATGAGAAAAAAAATCTCAATACTTCTGTAATTTGGTTATGCTATTTGATTTTATTTTGTAAATTTTTATTTTATTATATATTTGAAAATTGTGTTGATCTAATAAATATTCCATTGTTTATACTGTAAACCATCAAAAGAGAAATGTCCGATATTAGAACTAAGAAAAAAAACCAGAAAAGAATAAAATCTTTTAACCTTTTCGTGAATTTTCATTGTTATTGAAAATCAGAATTCAAGTAAAATTTTCTTTCGCGTTTTTTTTGACATGATTGGATAGAGGTCGTCAAGTTATCCACCTCTACCCATATTCTTTTTGTAGCGAAAATTATGTTAAAACAAAAACAATAAGAAAATGTCTATAACAATTGAAATACATCAAGATTAGTAGAGTCCGTCGAGTTGGTCCTGTACCCGGCAAGCTCTACAGCATAGACTCAATATTGATCGGAATTTGTTTTTTTTTTATTTTACTCGTCATATAGGTAAAAATAGTAACGTATGAGTCATGAAAAATATTGTTTCCTTATGGAGAAAATGGTCGTTTTTACGATATGACAGCGAAATACTATAAATATTAGTTTATATTCAGAAATTTTGACCATCAGAACTTCAGTTTGAAATAAAACGAACATCATATTAAGAATCAGTAAAACAATATCTGCACCGAAAAAAATACTCAATACTTAAGACAAGTATTTGTAGAGTTTCTGTTGTGAAACTTCTTCGCTCTTGTTTTCGAATAATCTTACCTATGTAATTCCCCTAAGGGCGAAGTTTGACAAACACTTGCTTTACATATCGAAAAAAATCGATTTTCTCTATAATGAAACAATATTTTTCAAAAATCATACATAGATTTTTTGCCTAATCATATGATCAGTTAAATAAAAAGAAATCCGAATAAATATTGATGTTTCATGATTTTAGTATAGTTCAACTTTTATAGACTTTTTTTTAAACTTAAGTTTCGCTACAAAAACAAGATTTTTAGATGTAACTTGATGAGTTCTATCCAATCATAGTCAAAAACAAACGTCAGCAAAAAAATTCGCTCAAATTTCGAATTACTGACAAATTATATAAAAAGAAACGATTTGTTTATAATTAAAATATTCAAGTTCACTTTTCCATTCGTATTAAATTACTTTTAAATTGATTACAAAGATTCAATAAAGTAAATATCTTGCCAAACATTATAAATATTGACTCATTATATAAATAAAAATTTTGACACGTACGAAATTTTTTTCGTCGATAATAATACTATATTTTCTTTTATTTTATTCAATGATTCACGAATTTCAAAATCATAAAAGCATGAATGATTCATATATATTCTTATCTTTATATAATATTACAAAATAATGATAAATTTTATTTTGAATAACAGCATTTTAGAATTTTGCTTGTATTCACTTTAAAAATATTTATATATCCAAGAAAAATTCGAAATACGAGCAATTTTATTACATGTTTAAATAACTCTATGTATACTTTACAATTGGGCGACATGTTTTTTTGTTTGAAGAGTAAAAAAAACGACTTCAACTGATAGAAACCGGTTTAAAATCCAGTCTTGTCTATGTTGATTTCTATGGAACTAATTGCTCCACCTTCTCTTTTTTTTTTGTTGTGATTTTTACATGTAACTTTGTTGAAACAGACACACGTGTCATTGTATTGATAGACATAGGAAGAAAAACAGCATTTCAGTACATTACAAATTATACGGTGACATTACCAACAGAGAATAATATATATATATAAACATTTGAATATTTCATTTTTTCTTTTTCTTATTTGGTAAAACCAATATAAAAATGTCAAAATTAAATGAATCTCATAATTTAAAAGATAATAATCTTCGTGGTAAACGAAGAATTAATGAAAGAAATCAAAAATTATCTATTAATATATTTAAAACAAATGATCAACATGGACAAACATCAACAGGACCAAATGCACAATTTTTTCATTCACAAATATTGATGGATGTTCTTTTACGTATGAAAACAAAAATTGATGATAAAAATGAATTTATAACTTTATGTAAAAAAGAATAAAATAATAATAATGAATTAAATATTCTTTATGAATTTATAGAAACATATTCGTCAGGTCAAGCTTTATGGTGGTATACACGAGAAACATTTATATATCAATTTTTAAATCAAGCATTACGTTTACAAGATATTGATTTATTATTTTTATTTCGTTTTTTTATATATGATATTCAAAAACAACTTGAATTAAATCAATATCAAGAATCTATTCATGTTTATCGAAATCTATTAATATCAAATAATGAATTAAATATATAAAAAAATTCTATTGGATAATTTATTTCAATAAATTCATTTCTATCAACAAGTATTGATATGCAAGAAGCATTATCATT